AATGGCACGAAGGACGGGAGGAGATTTGGGAATACATTGTTTAAGGGCCCTACTCAACAGAATTCGTCTGTTTTGTGAAGATGGCCTCTGATTCATTAAAGATGTATATTGTAAATCCTGGGCCAACAATTAAAAATATGCTTTTTAAAAAGTGTAAATAATATGTCAATAAAAATGACACAATGGAATAATAAACAACGTTCTGTTCGCCCAAGAGCAGGCAGAAAATAAAAATAAAAAACACAGATGGAAAAAATAAGCATCAATTATAGTAGGACAGACTTGAATCCAAACATATCAGTAATCACTTTAGGTACAATTGGTCTAAACACACCAGTCAAAAGCTGGAGATTGACAAATTGGATAAAAAAGCAAGACCCAATTATATGCTGTTAACAAGAAAACTGCTTTAAAAACAGGGTTGGCTAAACTACAGTGTAAAGAAAAAAGTGCCCGAACACATTAAACCAGAGCCCTGGGCGGCTACGCTGTATGCAAAAACAGACCTCAGGACAAGGAATGTTTTGGGGGCTGAAGAAAGAAATCACATCAGGACAAACAGTCAATATTCCAAGAAGGAATGACAATCCTACATGTGCATGCACCTAGAACTTCTTTTTTAAAACAACCTCCAAAATAATTGGAGTTAAAACTGGTAAAACTGAAAGGAGAAACAGGCAAGTTTACCCTGGTTGGCAATGTCAGCTGCCTTCTCGCTCACCGAGAACAAGTGGGCAGAAAATCGGAAAGGATGTCCAATCTGCAGAGCCCAGTTCACCAGCTGGACCTGGCAGATGCGACGAGATGCTTCTCTTGACCACAGAACACACATTGTTCTCAAGTGTACGTGGAACACTTTACACACACACACACACCACCACAAATATACACAGCACCATAAATTTCAAAGAACAGAGCTCATACCAAGGATGTTCTTGGACTATGAAAGCACTTCTAAATAATCCATGGGTCAAAGGGGAGGTTTCAAGGAAAATTTTTAACTATTTTTAACTAAATGAAAACACAACGTATCAAAACAGGCTGCAGCTGCAATGCTTAGAGGGAAGTTTTAGTCTTAAATGATTATATTAGGCAAGAAGAAAGGTCTCAACACAGTAATGTAAACTTTCACAGGGCGGGGGGTGGGGCAGGGAGGGAGGGAGCAAAGTTACAGCAAGCAGAAGGGAACTCATAAAGACTGGAGTAGGTATCAATTAAATTTAAACCAGACAAACGACAATCACTTCAATACTGAAAAACCAACAAGATCAATAAACCTCTATCCAAACTGATGAGGGAGGGGACACAAAGTATCAGGACTGAAAGAGGGAAAGTCACTACTGACCCCACAGATGGTAAAAAGATGACCGGGAAAATGCCACCCAGCACTCTGGCCATACATTCAACAGTTAGGTGAAATAAATAAACCACTCAAGAAGTGAAGGCAAAAAGCACTGTAATAGGCAAAACAGTTCTGCAAAAGAGCAAAGTCGGAAGACCACAGAACCCAATGTCAAGGCAAGTCAGGTTGGTTTTTTTTGTTTCATTTTGTTTTTACAAATTCTGCTGTCAAGATTCATGATCGAAATGTTCATCCAACTAGAAGGGGGATTGCTCCATCTACTAAAGGGCATCTAAAAACCTCCTGCAGTGAGCACTCACTACTGATGGAGAAATACTGCCTGCAGCCCCGGGATCAAGCCCAGCCAGGGGAGGCTCGTCTGCCCTCACCATGTCTCTTCAGTGCAGTGTGGGGGGCTAGCCAGGCCACTAAGGCAGGGAGAAACTCAAAGGCATCAGTAGTGGCAGGAAGAAGGAAACTCTTTATTCCTACGTATGTATTGTGTATGTAGAAAATCCTAGAGTCCACAAAGAAACTGCTGAATCTAATAAGTGAATTTAGTTAGAATATAGGATATAAGGTTAATATATAAAATTGTTTGTATTTTAATACACTGTCCACAAACAATTGGAAATTAAATTTTAAAAAGCAACAATTTGAATAAATTTATTAGAAAATTTGTACTGGAAACTCAAATGCTGGATATATGAAAAACTTACATGTTCATCAACAACCCAATTTAGAAATGGGTAAAAGACCAGAAATGTGTACTACCTCTCTGAAAAACTAGTAATTTCTTAGAATGTTGGACATATACTTATCCAGTTGCCCAGAAAGTCCTCTCTAGGTATTTACCCTTAGAAAAATGAAAAACTTGTGCAAGAGTATTCACTGTGTCTTATTCATCCTCGATAAAAATCCTGGAAGCCACTCCCAGGTCTATCAGGGGGAGAATAGATAAGCCAGTTGGGGTTTGTTCATTTAATGTTCCTATTCAGTAATAAAAATTAACCAACCATCAAGAACATTGAGGGACACCAAAACGATACGTTGAAGGAAATGCATATGGTATATGATTCCACTTAACTGTCGTGCAAGAGGAGGCAAACCAAGCTAGGGGGAGAGCAATCTGAAAGCTGTTTGTCTTGCCTCGGCAAAAGCAAGGCACTAAGCAACGCAGTGAGACCCTGTCTCTAAATAAAATACAAAATAGGGCCGGGATGTGGCTCAGTGGCCAATTGCCCCTGAGTTCAATCCCCAGTACCCCCCCACCACCAAAAAAAAAAATAAAGAAAGGAAGGAAGGAAGGAAGGAAGGAAGGAAGGAAGGAAGGAAGGAAGGAAGGAAGGAAGCTGGCTGTCTCTGCTGGTGGTGAGGTGGGAGCTGGCTGTGAGGGGCCTGAGGAGCTTTCCCAGGGAAATGTTGATGCTTTTCTATTTATATCTATTTTTATTAATGCATATTAATTTTGCACATTAATGGGATTCACTGTGATATTTGCGTGCATGCAGCCTGCAGTGTCAGTATCCTTCTGACCCTTCTTCCATCCTCCTCCCACCTTCCCCAGAACCCTTCCCAGTCCCTCATATTCACGATCCTACTTTGACATCAACTTTTTTTTAGGTTCCCATATCAGAGAGAACATGTGATATTTGTCTTTCTGTGTCTGGCTTATTTAGCTTAATATGATATCCTCCAGTTCTATCCCTTTGCCTGCAAGTGACAGGATGATCATCATCTCCTCCTCCCCCACCTCCTCGTCCTCCTTCCCCTCCCCCTCCCCTCTCCCTCTCCTCTCCCCCTTCTCCTTCTCCTTCTCCCCTCTTCCCCCCCCTTCCACTTCCTCCTCTTCCTTTTTTTTGGTACTGGGAATTGCACACAGGGATGCTCAACCACTGAGCCACATTCCTAGTCCTTTTTATATTTTTTTTAGAGTCAGGGCCTCACTATGTTGCTTAGGGCCTTTCTACATTGCTAAGGCTGGCTTTGAACTCTCGATCCTCCTGCCTCAGTCCCCCAAGATGCTGGAATTATAGGCATGCACCACCATGCCTGGCTAATTTCATTCTTTATGGCTCGGTAATATTCCACTGTGTGTATCATAATTTCTTTTTATTAATGCATTTTTTTAAAGAGAGAGAGAGAGAGAGAGAGAGAGAATTTTAATATTTATTTTTTAGTTTTGCAGTGGACATAACATTTTTATTTTTTGTATGTGGTGCTGAGGATCGAACCCGGGCCGCACACATGCCAGGCGAGCGCTACCGCTTGAGCCACATCCCCAGCCCAAATGCATTTTTATTATATAGAATAATGGGTTCCATTGTGGCATATTTGCAACAAAGGTTGTTATTTGTGACACTGAAATGTTTGCTACATGAATATGTATTTTTATCAAAACTTACTGAACTATACACTAAAAACCATGCATTTTACTATATGCAAATTTCAAAAACTCTCCAAATATTTTAAATAACAGATGTTGGATGCAAGTAATTTAAATTTTTTCCAGGTAGCGTGGCTCCACCTTCCTGTTGCTGCCTGAAGCTGGGTCTGTAGGATTCGCTGTTGGGACACCCTGAAGGGCTGGCATCTGCTCCAGCCTTGTGCAGCAGGAACAGAGGGCAGCCCCCCCATCCTCACCCCTCCAGTAAGCAGCACGTGGATGTGGCAGGTCCCTCCCTTCACCACCTTATAGACCCCAGGACCTGTCACTCCTCAGTGTGTAAATTTCAAACACATGCCAACTCTAAGTGATCCACAGTACGACGAGCGCGGCATTGCAAATGTAGAGAAGAGGAACACAGGAGGAAGGACCCAGGTTTGGAGACCTGTTCCCAGTCCACCTACTCCTGGGCCCTGTGATCCTAGGCAGAGCCCGAATTTCCTAGCCTTCAGTGCAGGAGTGACAATACTCACACAGACACCCCGCAGCGTCCCAGCTCTGAGGAGGAGCTGCTGAGAAGCTCCTGGGGGGAGCCTGGGGTGAAATGTGAATTCCCCTGCACTCTGAAGTGAAGGCACCATCGCTGCCCTTGTCCTAGGTACCCCGCCTCTCCGCCCCCACCCCAACACACACACCTTGACCTACTTTAGAAAACTTGACTGTTGATTTAGAACTTTTATCAGAACATAGAGCTATTTTAACTGTTCAAGTCTGTTATGTTTAGAAACTGGCAAGAAGCATTGGTTTGGGTTTTATCAAATTCACTTGGATTCCATTTGTCTGATAGATAACTGACAGTTGTTTTTCCCTTTTATTTTTTATTTTATTTATCTATTTAATTGTTATTTTTGTTACTGGGGATTGAATCCAGGGGTGCTTAACCACTGAGCCATATCTACAGCCCATTTTATTTTTTATTTTGAAACAAGGTCTCACCAAATTGCTTAGGGCCTCACTAAGTGTATGAGGCTGACTTTGAACTTGTGATCCTCCTGCCTTATCCTCCTGAGCTGCTGGTATTACAGGCAGCGCCACTATGCCCCGCTGTTCCCCCCACCTCCCCCACCTTTACCCTGGGCATCAGATTTGCACCACAGGCTCCTTCCGGCTCGTGGTTAGGAAATGACCCCAGTGTCTGCCTCTCGTTTTAGTGCTTATTAATACCAGGGCCTCCCATTTGCCTGGACAGAATCGACCCCAGGGCCATCTCACCTGCTGGTAAAGGTCAAGGCCAGCACTGTGGCCAGGTGAGGCATCAGCCGGAGCGTCTGTGTTTGGTGCTCGATGATTCTCACCTCTTCCTTGGCTTTGGGCCCAAACTGCCTCCGGCTAGAGAAAATCAATTGACAAATTTTTATCAAAATGGGGTGGGCAAATTCATGTCCAGAGCTAAATCTGCTTCCCCACCTTTGTTTTCAAGCAGTGTGTAATACAGAAACCTGGGTCTCCTTCAAAGGGGTTCAAATAATAAGACACCCAAGACTCTGAAGGAAGCCTGGTGGAACTCTTGGACTCTTCGAAAATTAATCTTCCCACCATGGAATATTTTAAAGGAATGTATCTAATACACAGTAATTTTTATCCTTAGCATTTACATGACATTTTGCAGTTCCACGTGCCCTGTGATCATTAATTATCCAGCTTTCCCATGTTTGTGGTATCATTAATGGGCTAGGAGCCATACCCCAGAACATATTTCAAAAGGGCATCCTCAACAGAGGGTGACGTTAACCCCATGCTCCCGTCAGTTTCACGGTGGGTCATTATTCCCAGTGCCTCAGCACCTCCCCTGCAGGCCTATGTACAAAGGCCCCTCCACATCCGCTGCGAGTCCATTGTGCCTTGAGGACAGAGGCTGCATTGCACTCTGAGGCAGCTGTGTCCAGGGGACCAAAGCTCTCCTCAGAGCAACATACAAGATGGCGTGGGATGGTCCCCACAGGCAATGGCCAGGGACAAGCCTTGCAGAAGCATGAAGCTGCAGACTTCGGGCAAAGAGCCAAGGCCTGCTGCACAGTCTCCCTTTGCCCATGCAGGCCAGTGCTCTATGGTCCTGAGTCTGGCAGCATTCCGACTTCAAGCAGTTCAGAGTTTAATGTTGAGTGTGTGTGTGTGTGTGTGTGTGTGTGTGTGTTTGTGTGTTTACCAGGGATTGAACCCAGGGGTACTCAAACACTGAACCACATCCCAGCCCTTTTTTATATTTTATTTAAAGACAGGGTCTCATTGAGTTGTTTAGGGCCTGGCTAAACTGCTAAGGCTACTTTGAACTTGCAATCCTCCTGCCTCAGTCTCCTGAGCTGCTGGAATTACAGGCATGCACCACCACGTCTTGCTGATGTTGATTTCTTAAAGAATGACATTTGACACAATACATGCACATATACACACACGAGCACACACACATACACAGTGCCCACTGTCAAATGCCCAGAGCATACCTGTACTTCAGACACCCTTAGACTGGGGATATCTATCAATCACTCAAAAAGAAAAGGGAAAGACCAATTTTTTTCCTAAAAATTTTCTATTTCATAAAGGCTTTCTTAAACATAATTTTATATTTTGATATCATCTTTATTTGTAATCAAAACAAAGGCACCCTAATGTCTCTCACAGGGAAGGCATCTAGAAGTAACAATAGGCCATGTCCCGGGGAGGGAGGTGGTGAGGACAAATGGCAAGCATGCGCTGGGCAGCCGCTGGCAAACACTGTGAGCACAGGATTGTTTTCCACAATCTAACCACCCACAGATGACTGTCCCAGGAATACCACCCCACCCTGCCCGGTCCATGTCCTTCCCTCTGTCCCTGCATACGCCCAACCACGGCAGGGCGTGGCTCCAAATGAGAGGCTGGACAGGCCATAAGGAAAGCTCTCAGCTGGTTCTGGATCACGGTGAGACCAGAAAAGAGACAAAAATCACAGATCCAATAATGGTGCCATCATAATACTAGGTTATTGCTGTGGACTGAATTTGGGTCCCCACAAAATTCATATGTTGAAGCCCTAACCCCCAAGTGACTATTTGGAGATAGGATTTTTAGGAGGTAATTAAGGTTAAATGAAGTCATGGGGTGTGGTGCTAATCCAATAGGATCGGTGGCCTTATATGAAGAGGAGGAGGAGTGCTCTCTCTTTCTCACTTATGCACTGAGGGAAGGTCATGTGAGGACAGAGCAAGAAGGCACCATCTAGAAGCCAGAAAGAGAAACAAAACCAAGACACCAGATCTGATCTCAGGCTTCCAACCTCCACAACCAGAGATACATGTCTATTGTTTTGTTACAGAAGCTGGAACGGTCTGATACAGTCATTTTACAAATTACATTTTTCTTCACTGTCTGAACTTTTACTTTTAAATGCTATGATTATACAGTGGCTTTATCAATGATGTGTCTAAAGTTTTATCAGGGGACATCTGTGTATCTGCTCTGTGTCCAGCAGAATACTAGGGGCTGGCATCTATCATGTCCAGCAGTGTACTAGGGGTTAGCATCTATTAGGGTCTAGGTAGTCAAGTACCAGCCACTGAGCTCACAGCCCAGGATACAGAGAAGACTCAGGCAAGGTGGCATGTGCCTCAAGAGCCTTGAACATGGCCTAATATCCCACCCTCTGTCAATCACCAGTATTTCCTGTGTGCAGCCAAAAGATCATTTCAGGGCACTCTAATCACATGGAGACAGCAAAAGAAGTGATTAATCATCACACCTTTTAGGTTTGTATTTGCTTAAAAATTATTTCAAACATACAATTTTAAATAGCATCCACCAAATTTTCAGTTTCTGCCTGTGAAACCTGTTTTGGCATGGCACATAGTAGGCGCTCAATAGCAGACAAAAGGAGGAATGAATGAACCTTGAGAATGAAGAAATGCAGATGAAGCACAGCACAGTGTCCCACTGTGCCAGGCCTCACCTGCCTGCTGTGCCACCCAATGGTGAGCCCTGCTGACCCTCATGATCCTTACCCACCAATCAGAAAGTGCCCCGTGCCAATACCCTGCTCTGTTGAACCGCCCCCAGCTCTATAAATGTGCAAAGCTATTCCTCAATAAACGGGTACTTCTCTAACAACGAGCCTTGTCCGGTCGTTGCAGGACCTGGACCTGCCCTGGACTTTGCAGGTGGACCTTGTCATGTTCCCATTTCTCTTCAACCCCTGCACTTCCACTGGGGTGACAGAGCAGAAAGAGACTTCCCCCACAGAGGGCCCACGAGGCAGGCCTTGCGTGGCTTGTATCGTGCTGACAGGGAGGAGACCCGCTATACTTCTGCTGAGTTCCCAGGTAGCTTCACAGAAGTCAGGAGATTTCCACGGAATCTGAGTTTCCAACCTTTCTTGAAACACAGGATGGGTTTCTTTTTTTCATGTAAAGTAATTTGCTTTGGCATCCTGACCTGTGAGTTATGTTGTGACAATGATGTAGCCAGCCATAGGCTTTCCTCAGGCCACAAGTTCACTGGGGGTTCCTGAGGGAGCAAAATGGCTCTGACCAGTCAGGTGGCATCAAACCCAGGAACCCACCCAGCCTTCCTTGAGACACTGCTCTTCCCACAAGACCCTCCATGTGCTCTCTCCACCCCAGGCCTCTGTCTGAATAGGGCTCTCTGCCCCAGAGAGCCCCACTTCTAACTGCCACATGTCTAAAGGGACTCATTTTGGGTTCCCTCCCCACACTGAGACTCCTGATTCTCCTCCCTTCCTTGACATGCTCCTTCAAAAATCAAACCCAACCAACCCAATCAAAGCAGAAAGCAGCTTCTCCTCAGAACGCCCTGAGCTTCCATCTGTGACCCCTTCCCCGAGGTCCAGCACCTTGTCCTTTCAGACTGGTACCATGTGGCCCTGAATGAAGCCTGGGTCCCTATGCTTCCATGCCTGGGGCCTCGCTGACCCTGGGAAGGGTCACAGCTAGCTAATCCGAAGGTAGCAAATGATGCTCTATGGGCACGTCTCTCAAACGCAAGCTCAGGAACCCAGAGCCCACACCCAACCACCTCCTCTATAAGGTTCCCACACGAAGCCACTGTGGCCCTGCCCTCATCACCCAGGGCCAGGTGCCAGGCAACTGCAGGCAGCCTAGGCCTCAGAACCCACTAACATGATCCAAAGTGGGGGGTCCTCCCCTGCTCGGCCCACCTGGCCCACTGCTCCCTGCAGGAACCACCGTAAAGGCCTATGCCTGTCTTCCCTGAGTCCTTCAGCTCCCCAGGAGGCCCTGCGAGGCATGGCGTGCCCCCTCCTCTTGAAGTGTGAGCAGAGAGCTGTCTTCCCCACAGCGCTCCTTTTCTGAGCTGGTGACCTCACCGTGTCTCGACAATAGCAAACCCACATTTTAAAACATACAGCTCACCTACGGCAGGCCTGCTCACCTTCCGGCACTGGGGTAAGCACTCAGGAAAGATGGGAAGCGAGAGGGCAGGGTGACTATCCTGCCTTCTCACAGTCCACGCCCACCCCTCCTCCCACCACCCATCCTCCCCCTTGAATGTTACTAGATGTTTTGAAAAAATGAATAAATAAAATCTGACGTGCTGGGTAAATACCAGCGTGCGTATAGGGCAGGGATGGACGAAGGCAGAAAAGGAGCCTCCCCTAATGCCAGCAGCCCACCCCACTGCTGGCTTTCTTGCCAGGGACCAGAAGGAAAGAAGTGATGGGCAGAAGAAAGCAGCACCTAACTCACTCACTCACTCACTCACTCACTCACTCACTCACTCCTCCCTCCCTCCCTCTGGCCCAAGATGCTGCCAGTCCCCAAAGCACTGAGTAGTTTCTATGCCTCTCTGTCTGGCTTCTCCAGGGGGAAATGTGACATTAAAGGCTGATGACCCTTTTCCCACCTGGAGATGCAGCCAGAGGTTCAGCCCTGTGACTGCCACTGTCAGTCCCCAAGCTGGCAGCCTGGCTGCAGCAGAGGCGGCAGAGGGAGAGGACTTCAAGACTCAGAGGGCCTGGCCTGTGAAGGAACTTGCCCTGCCACTCTGCGGCCACCTCTCGTGGATGCTCTCAGGACCCGTTGGCTGAGCTGGGTGCCATGCCAGCCAGGACCATCCTCTGGTTGCCAGCACCTGGCATGCTGCCCTGGGCACAGCTGTACTCCTGCAGCTGGCCAGCAATTACTGCCTGCCAGAGGTTTTTATTGTTCCAGTTTATGATCTAGACGGACACAATATTCTTCCTGGTCTTTTCCTCCACTGGGTTACTATTTTTTCTTTTAAAATACATGTAAAGGCTATATTTTTCTCTGTAAACATATTTTTACTTCAGTACCCAACACACTCCCCGCACCCACTCCTGAAAGAGCCCAGAGTCACTTAGC